AGGTTGGTAAGATATGGGAAATATGAAAGCTCTTGATAAATCTCTGGATACGTTTGGGCAAAATATATTGCAAATTGCAAACATTGGTTTCAAAGGAAAGATGTTTGATTATAACAGAAGGGAAAAATAAGAGCTAGTAAAATGTAGAAAATAATAAATCTCTCGTCAAATATTTGGATTTGTTCTCTCATTTTCTGCCTTCATACAATGGTTTTAAAAGAATTATTTGTGATTATTACATGAGGCAAATATTACAGCTTAGTAGAATGTTGAATATATATACTAAATCTTTTGACAAACTTTTTGGATTTGTTCTGGCTAATTTTGTTGCAAACAATGGTTTTAAAGGAATCATTTGTGATTATAACAGGAAACAAGTATTACAGCTTTAAGTTAATAGAATGATAATTACATGAAACAAATGTCATGGTAAATATTTTGATTTGTTCTGGCGAAATTTGTTGCAAACATTGGTTTAAAAGGAAATATATTGATATTTACTGTATAGGAGAGAGATACTGCTGGTTAGATTGACATTAATAAGGCATGTTAAGTCAGTGAAATGAATGAAAACTTGATAATAAAAGTGTTTTGCAGCTGTAAATTGTGCAATTTCTATAGCAATATACTCAACTGTAGATTAAAGAAATTATGAAGATGAAAAGAGAACAAGAAATAAGTTGAACATGTTTTCAAGTACAATGTAAAAAGGCTTATAGAATAGCATAGCATAAGGCTTATATTCTTACAATCAGTCATTTGAATTCTAAAACAGAGTAAACATGTAAATACGATAAAAGTCAGGTACAATTCCAGTATGAAATTTTCCAGGTATTTCAGTTTATACGTAGTTTGCCAGTGAAAATCGTATATATTATGGATTACACTTTTCAAAAGTAAGGAAATTATTTTACGACACTTTTAAAAATATTTAAACCTTGTGTTTTATTGATGACAGACGTATGGGTTTGAGAATAACCTGTCTCTGCAGCAGCTAGAGAGGGCAGGCTTGCTTCGAGTCCAGGAACAGAAGACTTACCCTACCATTAGAAAGACTCTGAAGCTAGTCATGGAAGATGTTAACGAACAGGTACTTCTAAGATTACCTTTCATCCATTGATCTTTCATGCCTCTCTGTCTCCCTCCCTGCCTCCCTCTGTGCCCCCTCCTTCCCTGCTACCCCTTTTGCTCCCTCCCTGCCTTCCTCTTTGCTCCCTCCCTGCCTTCCTCTTTGCTCCCTCCCTGCCTTCCTCTTTGCTCCCTCCCTGCCTTCCCCTTTGCTCCTTCCCTGCCACCCCTTTTGCTCCCTCCCTGCCTTCCTCTTTGCTCCCTCCCTGCCTTCCTCTTTGCTCCCTCCCTGCCTTCCTCTTTGCTCCCTCCCTGCCTTCCTCTTTGCTCCCTCCCTGCCTTCCTCTTTGCTCCCTCCCTGCCTTCCCCTTTCCTCCCTCCCTGCCTTCCCCTTTCCTCCCTTTCTGCCTCCCCCTTTCCTCCCTTCCTGCCTCCCTCCATGCCCCTCCTTCCCTCCCTTACTCCCTGCCTGAGGAGTGTAGGATCAATTAAAGAGCGAATTCAATATTATGGTCTGATGTTGGTGTACTCAAAAGTATGGATAGAAAATTTGATGTGCGATCATGTATTAGCATCTACACACTTTTAGTGAAACCTTTAATATGCAACCTTCTTTTTAAATCCTCAGATCATAAAATCGCACTGACAAAAAAAAAAAGAAGCTTTAGTATATTCTCCCTTCCTGATTTCAAAGAATGTACACATGGTACACATGTACATGTAAATTTCTCTTGGATAATATTATGTTCGTGCCAAGTTAAAGAAAGGGTTTCTACAAATATGTATCCTTACACAATGAAGTGGCATAGTGTATTTTCAAAATTCAAAGGTAAATCAGATAAACCCTGCAAAACTAAAAAATGGGTGTGTTTCTGAAATCAAATTGTAAATTCTTGCATTAATTTAACTAAGTTATATTTGATATGCATATACATAAGGCATGGGCGTCAATCCTTACGTAATACCTATTGTTCAGGGGGCGATGATCTATTCATTCATCCCCCCTGAACAATAGGTATTACGTAAGGATTGACGCCCATGACATAAGGTCATGCACTTTCTAAATTATCCTTGATTAATCTTATACTCTTTTGTCAATCCTAGAACCCTACAGATATATCCTACGTATTCAGTGGCTATGCACCTCTGTCTGTGAGGCTAGCCCAGTTCTTGGCTAGGCCTGGATGGCGTAGTATAGACGAGGTCCTGAGACTACTTCCTGGTCCTACGATAGAAGAGAAACAAGTACTTCCGACAGGACTGCAGAAGAAAAGTAATAGTTCTAAATTTTCCCATGTTTGGTTATTTGTAATTTTAAAATCTTGTCAACATTGAGTTGTAGTATAAATTAGGTCCTGCATGGGCCCTGGTACATCAAACTTGTTATCAATATCAAATGATAAATTTCTATTACAAATTTGCTCTCATCCAATCAAATGCCATAATTTGGATATTGGAACAGTTACTGTAACTTGTTATTGATAACATGTTTTATAAAACATGATGGCCCTATGACTAGTTCCTGGTCTTACGATAGAAGAGACACAAGTACTTGCTACAGATTTCCAGAAGAAAAGTAAAAGAACTGAACTTTCTCATGTTTTGGTATTTGTATTTAAAAAATCTTGTCATGGTTGAGATAAACTACAAAGCAGGACTGAATTAGTTGTTCTTTTTGTGCCATATGTGATCGAGTATTACACATAAGTGAACATGACTTGACATTGATGGTTCACAGACCAAGACCAAAAAGAGGAGAGCATCTCAAGACAAATTTTGTTTAAAAATCCTCAAAGCAAACAGATTTTTCAGTCTAATTCTAGGCAGGGCTTTATATTTACTGTTTTAAAGGGGTCAGGGGAGTGTTTCACAAAGACTAAGATCGACTCTAAGTTGGACTTAACTATGGTGGGCCATTCTTGCCACTGGTACTGGTTGCTCTCACCATTGGTCTTTCAATTATGATCTTTAGATAATATTTTGTTCTTCAATAATGAATTATCAAAAAATGTATATTCTGTAGATTTGTGACCATTGATTTGTACGTCCCTTGAGAAACCAATGCTAGGAATGGTTAGAGGAATTAGTGGCATGAAGAGCCTGCCATAGTTAAGTCCAACTTAGAGTCGATCTTAGTCTTTGTGAAACACTCCCCTGACCCCTTTAAAACAGTAAATATAAAGCCCTGCCTAGAATTAGACTGAAAAATCTGTTTGCTTTGAGGATTTTTAAACAAAATTTGTCTTGAGATGCTCTCCTCCAAAACTACATGAGGGAGTTGGTGAAGCCAGACAAAGTCTCAGCGAAGCATACCCAGAACAAAATTGACTGATTTTTTGTTGTTTCCTTTTTCAAACGTGTATCTAGGGCCTATGATAGGAGATAGCCAAGGTGATTCCACAAAGGTCACGCTGATCTACTTCCTGGGCGGGGTCACGTACGCTGAGATTGCAGCTCTTAGGTTCCTCTCACAGCAGGAAGATGGTAAGTGTCTTTACATATCCCTCTTCAACTGTTTATCCATATGTGAACAGGCGCACCGCCCGCCCCGACACACCTCAGGTCTTAGCAGGATGTCAATATATCTATAATATTACTCGGTTTACAACTTACAATGTATAATAATAATAATAGCCTGATAGTCCACTCCAAATTTTATTAAACCGAAACGGAAATTCTTTTTGCCCAATTGATCGTGAGCCCGGCAGCCACTGAGCAGCGCCAGATCGACGTTGCTCTATTCCTTATTGTTAAACGCCAAACAAGGTAGCAACAACTCCCATCTTTTCATGTCTTTTGGTATGACGCGGCCGGGGTTCGAACCCATGACCTCCCGGTTGTGAGGTGGACGCTCTACTGACTGAGCCAACACTCCGGTATCAATAGGTAGCAAATGTTTAAGGGCACACTGTGACCTAAATTCCTCCTTGTTTACAGATTTAGTGTACATTTCACAGGAAGGTAGAAGGAGTTTGCTCGTAAATTTCAACATGCTTGAATAGTAAATATCACTCTTTGATTGACAGATGGAATGTAGGAAGACGCTCTGCTCATTGATTTCTTGTTAATTTCATGACAGATGAATTCCTTGCTTGTAGATTACACCCTGTGCCCCAGATAATATTTTGGGTGTATATTTCTGGAAGGTGACCTGCTTATAGGTTAGTGACCAGGGGGGTGTTTCACAAAGATCCTAAGTTGAACTTATCTCTAAGTTCGACTTATTATTTGTGGAAAGCAGTATATTACCTCACAAAATTCTATTCAGATTTGGATATCTTCTATCTGATAGCAGGTAATAGTAAATTGGCTACCCTGGGAAAATATGAACTAATTGTCATTATTATTATATCTTTCCAGCTCCGACTGAATTTGTGATTGCTACAACAAAGATCATCAATGGTCACAACTGGTTACAGAGTATGTTAGAAGTGCCCCAGACATCTACAGAAACTACACCACAAAGATGAGTTAGGATAATTTGTGGTTTGCTCTATTTTTATTTACCTTTTATGGACAGAAAGGCGCTTGACTTACCTAAATACGCTTCCATTATATGACACACCAAGAGGAATTATGCAAATAAAACATGAATAATATCTCTTAAATTATAATGATTAAGGTATTTTTGCACTTTATTCTTCAATGGTAAGGAAGTGACAGCCCCTTACAGTCAAATGAGGCAGAATCCCAACTATTATTGGTATATCAACTTGTTACTTTTTTTTAATGACAGGTCATTGAACCATATTTTCATTTGTATTTATGCGTGTCAAGTCACTGTTGAACAGCCATCATATATTGATAAAGGAATATTGAATTGTATGTATATTTTTTCTCAAACATACACTTACAGAAGTTTACTTATTTTGGTATTTTCTTTACAGACTTTGAGCAAAAAAGACAAATCCCAAAATCCAAAGTTGTATACATGTACATGCTGGCTTTGAATGTACATAAATGATGTTGTGCATGTTGTGCCTAAAATAAAGGGATATTTTCAAGAGATTTATAACTCTGTGTTAAAGGTACTTTGTCCCTTTTGCAGCCAACCTCAAATTCTGTAGAACTTTGCAGAAATTATGAATATGTCATGTATACTAGATTCTATGTCCTATCTGTGAAATTCAAATGTTATAGCCGTGTCCAAATATTCAAATTATGCAAGGAAACCCGTTTACTTGCTAGACTTCCCTGTCTGACACTATTGAGTGACTGACTGGCTTTTTTTCTTCTTTGGTAATAACATACATAATAATGAGCTGTAAAGGGTACATGAGCATTTGTCTACATCAATAACCCACTTCTTGTGATGGCCAAAATGAAACTGATTGAATCTTTGCGCAGCATAAATCGTATGACCATTCGGTACAATGGTCTGAAAATCAAGTTATTACTTATCGGCTCTATAGCTCCCAAATCGATTTGACAAAAAATAGTCATTATTTTCCCACTTTAAGACATTTTCAAGCCCCACTTTTTTAGGGAAGTTCTAAATTAGTATTATCTTTCAAATGCCGTTGGAATTTAACCTTTTGATTTTTTTTGATCTGCAAATGGGACATAGTACCTTTAAAGGTAATTATGTGATAATTGAAAGTGATTTTATAATTTTTCTCTTGAACCTTGGCATGAATTTATGTCTGTAAAGAGTTAATTGTCTTTTGAAGACATATGACCTTTCTTAAGAGGCCACAAATAAATCAATTAAAGATTGTATAATTATTATTTGGACTGTAAACATTCCATTCTGTTATTCCCCTATATATGTATTACTAGATATGCTATTTTTGAGGATTATTATAAAATCAGAACCTCTTGCTTTAATTTTTTTTCAAGTTTTTTGTGAATTTAAGAATGGTCTAATATTGCAAAAGTTTAATGCATGTATTTAATTTTTGTGTTATTTACACTCCCCAAGTCTAATTTTCTGAAGTCTTTTTGTGTGTGCAGTTTCAACAAATTGGTGTACGCAGAGCTGTACATCTAAGATGACTGCTTGATTCTAGTAATCTGGTTATTTATGAGTTAAAACATCAGTGGCATAGCTACTTGTACAGGGGTAGGAGGGGGGGGGGGAGAGAGAGAGGAAGACAGATTAAACGGGTAGGCCATGTGAAAGAACACTTTCCACACCATTTTCCTCACTCGAATGGCTTCAGTCATCTTGCGCATTTGATCCACATATGACCGGTCAGAGCCATCTATACGCAGAGTTTGGCCAACTTGGTCTCAGTTGGTCACAACATGCAGTCTATTCTTTTGTTTTGTGCTTGCCCAAATTAGTAGTATTCGCCATATTGTGTCCAATTCGTACCGAGTTGGCCAAACTCTCCTTTCCAAAAAACATTATTCATTGGTTGTTAAAGTGTTTAAGCTGTACTAGTTTTTTGAAGTTCGTATTGTGCAATACATCTATGTTATTAATCAATGATCTGTTTATCAACTCTTTGTTATAATATGGATTCCATGAGAATATAAGGCCCATAATTAAATGGGCGCTGTGAATACATGAAAGAACCATTATTTATACTTGTATATTTTGAGTGTAATGATAGAAACAAATTTTTCTGTCAAACTTAAATTGAGATGGAGAGAGAGAAAGAGAGACAAAGGGAAAAGGAGGAGGTAGGGAGAGAAATGAGGGAAGGGAAGGAGGGAGAAAGAGTGACAGAAAGAGAGAGCGACAGAAAGCGAGAGAGAGAGAGTGAAAGAGAGAGAGAGAAAAAGGGAAAAGAGGAGGTAGGGAGAGGAGAGGAAGGAGAGAGAGACAGAGAAAGAGAGAGACAGGGAGAGCGAGAGAGAGGGAGAGAGAGAGAGAGAGGGAGAGAGAGAGAGAGAGGGAGAGAGAGAGAGAGAGGGAGACAGAGAGAGAGAGATGGCGGAGAAAGAAGAATAAAGAACAGAGGAAAGAGAGTGACTAGAGGATATATAGTAAGAAGAAACACTGCTCACTATCACTTCTCTACATAGTAGAATCGGTACTGGATTTATTCTGGAGGAAAATCATTCCAATAACAACCTCACATGTACATGTACTTTAATACAAATTGCTCAAAATCTAATATCCTGCTCTATTTGACATAAACTATAATATATGATAGTCTACTACATGTACATAATACAGGTACATTATCTAAATTAGTACAATGTAGTATTGTCTCAATGTAATGGAAAGTGGTAAAAACCTGATATTGCAGTTACTATATGCACATCTTGTTGTAGACGAAGCTATTTTACCCCAAAACACAGACAAAAATGTAGACTACAATACTCAAATCACCAGAGTAAGTTTATGAACATATACATTAGAAGTCATTCAGAGTATTACTTTAGGAAAGCAGTGACAAGTTACTGGAGTGAACTTAAAAATTGAACCATAGAGAGAACAACAAAGGTACTTCAAACCTCAAAAATAGAGTGCAGAAATAAGAATATATTCCTCAAAATTACCAAATATCTACAAGTGTCCCAAGATTATAACAATTACAGTGGGAAAGTGCTGGCTTTAGTCACTACCGTATTACTAAAATTCATGTTTAAAAACTACTTTCATATTACCGGGGTAAAGGGAAGTTAACTCTGATATTTAGTTGGTTTAATAAAGGCAGAAAAATGGGATACTGTTACGTGAAAGGTGTTTTTGGAGCAAATCTGATTAAAATTAGAAATATATGTATTTTTAAGTCGTAATCAATCAGGGTGGACTTCCCTTCAATAGATCATGGCATATCAAACATACAACTTTGAATTGTGTCAAAATCTAAAAAAATATATAGTTTACAGAGACCACAGGGAGAGAGAAGAAGAAGGCACATACATCTTAAATCATTGGCTTGAAACATTTTATAGGTAGCTGCATAATTGTACTCGCACTCAACAAAAAAACATTTTTACTCGGATTTTAGAAATGTAACGCCGTTGTTGAAAAAGAGAAAAAACGTTCACTTCAGCCCAGACACACAAAAGCCTAGTCCCACAATTAAGCCTTTATCCTAAATGTATGCATTCATAAAGTAGTCACCCGAAGAATCAAAAGTGTTTTGAATTAATGCAAAAATCATATCATTGCGAAAGGGAAGCCTTACTGATCAAATATTACAATTTCCCTCTTCAAAATATGTTTGGGGCCCGCAGTAATCATCTCTCAAAAATATTAATTTTGAGATCCAGATTTTCTGCCTTCAACGGTCCTCCGTTGAGCGTCAAGATTTGTGATGTCAAATGCGAGACACAGCTAGACACAAAATTGCATTTTGCGCCTTACCATGATACATGTGTATCTATATGATTTTTCAGCAAATTCTTTGTGTTTTGCAAGAGAAAATCTTTCCATCCAGATATTATTTGTCCATGATCATCAGTTGTAGTGAATTTTCTTCGGGTGACTACTTTAAATACTAAACTTCAGTTCATTCTGATCAGAAACCTGTACTACAGACAGATTCTATTTGTGGTCGATTATTGCATTCATATACCACAATGTAGTCAAAGTTAAAAATTTAGTTAAAAAATGTAGACATTACATCTGTCATACCATACTACATTGAAATCTTTTAGAAATTATTAAGAACTATAATTATGTAGTTCATCTATACTACTGCTTCATATATCAATGAATTCTAGTTGAACACAGTATTATCAACTTACTACATCAAGGAATGGTTTAAAATACATACAAAACTTTTATCGTTTTAATACTAAAATCACTGAATGCTTTTAATTTTCAAAATGGGAATATGATATTGCTATCTGAACAAACGAGTCTTGTGAGTTGACGAATTGATATAATAAACAGAACTACATGTATTCTCACGACTTGTGACCTTTTGTGCTATGTTTAGATACATCATCGTTTATGAGTACAGGTCTTTCTAACACCTTGAGACCAATGAGTGACAGAGTCTATTATTAAAATGTAATAATTCTACAAGCCCACAGCTACACACTCCATTATCATATGACCAATTTTAGAAGAAGAAAAAATCCACCATCCCAGTATTTACCAAACAAGTACAGTATTAACACTGAAAGCTACAGAGTAATATAATAGTCAAACATGTTCATCAAAATGTGATATACAGCATCACTTCATGAAATGTAGATATGAAATGAATATATTACCAAATCGTGTAATATAATAGTTAAACATGGTCGTCACAATGGGATACATCATTACTTCATGAAATGTAGATATAAAATGAATATATTACCAAATTGTACACATATACTCCTGGAAACAAACCTTTCTTAGTTTGCTTTGTACCACAAAGATTACATTACTTCAATGATAAGCCTACCAAGAAGAAATACCATGAGGCAACACTTCTCATATATCTGAAAACACATTGGAATATATTACCATCTTGTTAAAAATTGAAGATAAGTTCAGATATATTGCATTTATATATATATATATATATATTTAAATATATATATATATATATATATATATATATATATATATATAATTATGCAGTCTTTGTTTAATGTTTCAAGTAGAGTGGAAATTATATGAAGCTTTTTATCCATTTGGAACTTCATAGCTTTAAGTGAGTCATCTTCAGGTACCAAATGAAAGACTCTGTTGTTCTTAAGATTTTAATCATGTATATGCCTCTTTGTTTAGAATAAGATCGGGATAGCCAATCTCAATGTGTGATGATATTTATGCAAAAGTATACAGGGATACATAATACAAACTATTAATCTTCCTAAATTTGGTACATACCGAGGACAATATTAATATTTCTATTAGACAAAGTTCAAGTCTCAAGTTTTCTTATCATGCATGTCTCTCTTTTTATGATTGGATTGGAATAGCCATACTCAGTGTGTACTGTGTAACAACTTATATGAAAAAGATGCATATTCATATGCCTTCCTAATTTTGTGACATACGGAATATAACATTACTATTTCTATTAGAATGGATTTGATGATTTATCATATCGCTTCTTCCCTATATCTAAGGCTAGGCTGGGTTTTAGAGCTTGGATGAGCCAGCGTGTGCGAGAGAGCCCATAGGATCCCAGGGAGGTAGAACAACAGGTTCCTTCGTCAGGACGGCCAGGACTTCAGCTGGAACGTAGGACTTGTCGACCACCACTTCATAGACAAACTCTGAAAACCAATCGTCTGCCATCACTAGATAGCCTGAGAATTTGAAAAAGTGAAAACGTTAAAGCCTGTCTGCACTAGTTTGGCTAGGGGGATTAGACCTCCCTGCAAGGTCACTGACAGGTGGTTATCTCATCAAATCAGCTCTCAATTAACATAAGAAAAAGGGGATCGTGGGGACAAACAGGCACCGATTAGGCATTTTTTGCCCTATAGAGGGCGCAAGTAGCTATAAGTAGTACAGTGGGGTTTTAAAATAATTACAGCACCTTGGTAAATAACAAAATATGGGAAATGAAATACTAATAACAGTCAAACTGCTAAACCAACTCCATACCATCTCTTGGCCACTGGATGACCGATTCTTGACCGTAGCAATTTCCCTTTAAGTGAAACTAGCTAGAAGAAATGTAGGAAAAATGTTATACCCTCCTCTATATAAGATTTTGTTAAATGTGATTGTCTAGTAACTGTATGGCAAATGCTTTTGTCAATCTCAGGATAGATCTGGTTTTCTAGATCAAGAATCGGGAGCTGTGCTGTGCTTCATCTTACCTTTCTCTCCCACGTCCTCACCCCAGGAGTTCTCAACCCTCCATTTGGTTGTCTTGGTCTCAGTTTCAGCACCCTAGAGAAAGAAAAGGAATATGAGGAACTAATCGTTGATTCACATGATTCACATTATAATGGTGGTGGTGGTGGTTACAATGAGGAAGAGGAGAAGGGGGGATGATGATGACATGATGATGGTTAATCAATAGCTATGACTACAATGATAAACAGATGATGATACTGGCTATTGATGATGATGATGATGATGGTGATGATGATGATGATTATCGGGGATGGTGATGGTGGTGATGATGACGATAGTGATTGACGGTGATATGGTAATAATGGTGATGATGAAGATAATAATATAGTGATCGTGGCGAAAAATATGGTGATGATGATGATGATGATAATAAAGGTAAAAAGTTATACAAGATTAGACCAGTGGTGATGATAATGAATATGAGATGATGATGATGATGCTGAATATAGGGGATGATGATGGTGGTGATAATGATGATGATGGTGATGATGATGATGGTGATGATGATGATGGTGATGATGATGATGTGGTAATAATGGTGATGATGAAAATGATGATGATGATATTACAATGATGATGATGATGATAAGGTAAACATTGAAACAAGATTAGACTAGTGGTGATTATGATGATGAACATGACAAATACGATAAACATGATATTGACAATGGCAAAGATAACAATGACAAAGCACAGGTGTGGCAAAAGACCCAAAG